TAGCAGGGAGTGAGCCAGCAGGGGGCGCTTGTTTACTCGTGCGACACCCTGAAATTGCTGCTCTGCGCTCGGGCGATGAGGCGGGTTCTAGGCTGGCAACGTTTCCGAGGGTCGCAGCGGCTCCGGGGCTGAGTTTACAAGTGTTCCCCGCGCTGACACTCTGGCCATGGCGAGCTCTCCGTGGTGCTGAACTCGAACGGGCTCGAGATTTCTGCCAGAAGGAATCATAGAATTGTGGGCCTGGGAGAGGCCTCGAGGGCCAAGCACCATCTAGACCATCCCTGGCCGGTGTCTGTCCAGTGGTGGAGATTCCACAACCCCTGGGCGATTTAGTGCAGTGTTTCACCCCCCGACAGGCAGGAAGCTTTTCCTAACGTCCATCCTAAACCTCCCTGGCTGCATTTGAGCCCGTTGCCCCTTGTCCTGTCCTCCGAGGCCCAGGGGACCATTTGTCTCCGTCTTTCTTGTAACACCCTTCGATGTACTGAGAAGTGTTTCTGCCACCTCAGTCTTCTCTTCTCCAGATAAAACAAACCCACTTTTTTTTTTTCAGCCTTCCCTCATAGGCCACGGTCTCTCGTCCTTTCATCGTTTTTGTTGCTCTTCTCTGGACCGTCTCCACTTTCTCCTCCTCTGTCCTGACGTGGAGCCCAGAACTGGACACGGTGCTTCAGCTGAGACCTAATCAGGCAGAGCAGAGTGGAAAATGACTCCTTGTGTCTTGCTCCCGGCGCGCCCGTCCCCACACCCGAGAAGTGTTTGTCGGGGGAGGGGGAGGGGCATGGAAGTGCCAGGGGCGATCCTGAAAAGCGTTGGTGCAGCCTCCGCAGCAGAACTCTTGCGCCTCTGTGGCAGGTTCTCAGGCGGTGATGGGAGGGGGTGATGCTGGACTCGGCAGCGCTGTTGTTATCTCTGGTTTGCAGGGGGTAGTGCCCGGGTCTCAGGCCAGGGTCCCAGCACATTGCAGTGTTCTGCAAATGCAGGAAACCAGCACAGGCCCCGTGCACAGAATTTCCAAGAGTTTCTCTTCACCGGGGCTTGCAGGCCAGGCCACCCGCTGCCAGGAATCCACGCTCCCCCTCTCCCGAGCTGAATGGCTTTTAAAGCTCCATTGTAAGTAGTGTGGGATGGATCCCTTCCGCACATTCACCTTCCCCCAGGGGATACGCTCTTGGCTTTACTCGCCTCGGCTAAGCAATTACACGGGGCCGGTTTGTCGGCCTCCGTGGCCCAGAGTTGGCCCTGAGTCCTGGAGGGCCACAGCGGGGTTCGGGTCAAAGGAGAACTGTGCCCTGTGGGTCTATATTTGTTCTCACCCTTCTTCACAGCTCTGCTCATGCCATGTAAATAGGGATCAGTTTGCAGGAGGCCCAGGAGCGAAGGGCTCTCTGCTGCCCCCCCAAGCTCCTTGCAGGTTATATCTGTCCCCACCCCAGTGGTTTTGGGGCAAACCAAAGCAGCACGTGCAGGAAGTCGGCTTGCATCATGGTCCGGCTGCAGCGCTGGGAGGCAGGGAGCCTGGCGTTCTAAGCCAGCTCCGCCACTGACTCACTGCGTGACCATGGGCACCTCCCTGGTGCCGGGGGTTTCCCGTTGGTGGGAAAGGGAAAATCCCGACCCGCAGGGTGTGGTTTGCCCCATGCTCCCTTTCCTCCCTAGGTGGTTTGTACGGCATGGCGGTGACGCACAGCCCTGCGCTGTGGCTGGGATCTGACTGTGCACGGCCAGACGCTTCTTTTCCCACGTGCTTCCAGGCCAGGGGCGTGAGTCGCTGTGCACAGTGGGGAAGCAGGAGCAGAATCCCTGATTCTGCCTCCATCACGGGCCTCGTGTCGAGCCAGGCCCCTTGCTGCCCGGGTTGGTCTGTGGCAGCAAACGTGGGGGATGGGGGGTTGTGAACGGGGCTGAGCGTGGCCTGGGAGGTGCCACGTCGTGAGCCAGAGACACGCGGGTCCCGGGGACGGAGCATTACGCCCTGGGGCCCTTGGCACTGGCAGCGCTGACCTCGTGTCCGGGGGTGGCTTTCAGAATTGGGGGAGGGGGCTAGATGGCACCTGCAGGCGTTAATGGGGTTTTGGGGCCTTCCACTCTGTCAGTCTCCCCCCACCCCAGCACTCGCTGCGCTAAGGCCCCCCAGGATTTCAGGTGGTGCTTCTGTGCCCAAGGGGCTGCACAGGAGCTTGGGAGAACTGGGTTTGGTTCCCTCTCTGTGCCTCAGGTGTCTGGTGGTAGAATTGGGGTCCCTGGGTCGTGGGGCTGTCGCTGCACCTGCAGATGCCCCTACTCGCTCTGGCAGCTCTTGCTGCTTTTGTGGCTGGCCAGAGGGGGTCCTGGGACAGAGAGAGATTAAGTGACTTGCCCAGGAACGTTCAGGGAGGCAGTGGCGGACCTGGGCATAGAACCTAGGTCCCCCGTGTGACCACTGGGCCTCATTGCCTCTCTCATCTCCGCTGCAAACGTTCCCTCTGCACCCCCCGGGAGACAGTTGAGGGGGGCCTTGGGCCCGGCACCAGGCCCATCTCCTGCTGCCCCCCAGCTGGGCTCTGAAGTCATGCGGGTGCAGTGGTGACGCCACTCGCTGTTGCCATGGGAACGCGGCAGGTGCCGGCTGTGTCTGCCGAAAGGCAAGGAGGCTGCACGGGGAAGGATGCGAGTTGAATTCTGCTCTTGTGGCAGGAGGAGGAACCAGCCCCCCCCACAC